AGAGACATCCTTGAATCCCTTAACAGGTCTTGCAGGCGATCCTGGAGGAGCGAGCAGCGGAGCTGTCCCTCCCCACGACCTCCCTCCGGCAAGGGGAAGTGTTGGTCCAGTACCTGGAGACGCATCGACAGGTGTCCCACCTGTGCAAGAGGCTTTCGTCCGTCTTCCATCCCACTCTCTTCCTCGGCTTCCTCACGGCGATCGTCGCTACCATCGCATACGCCTTCTTCATTATTTCTTACGTGATGAAGGGTTCTTGGGTCTTTGTCTTGATGGCTGTGACGAGGGCGTCCTTCTGCGACTTCCTCGTCTTTTCCCTCTGTTGCTCAGCCGACAATCTTTCCTCCAAGGTTGAACCTCAAGGCTTTTGTGAAGTGCCATCGTGTCTATGTTTAGATATAATGTTTTTATATCTCATAATTCAGCTGTCGATAAGAATGACTATTCAGTCAGGCTGATGTAAACTCTTGCAATTCACGCAGGGCCATTTTTCTCATATTTAATATTATTATTGTCCTGCTCATGACTATGAGCCAATATACATGTAGCATCACGAGAATCAATTGGAAAAAAAAACAATAAAATGTGGTAAAGCGTTAATAAAACTTTGAAGCACACCCCCATGAACTCGAACAACAGCCTATGCTCATTACAGGGTACGATGTTCGCGTTAAGCCTTCCTCGGATATGTTCCTCACCCGAAGAGAAAATATTTTATTACGAAATAGTAGAGAAATGGCGGGAGTGAAAAAAAAACCCTCTGAATTTGCCTCGAAAACAAAAATAATGAATATTTGATTACTTATATATTTAAAAAATGATGTGCGAAATGATTATCACTCTCGGGCCAGAATCTTTCCTACAGGATTTCATGACCCAATTTTATCTTCAATTGTTGAAGGCTTGAAATACGATGTTAATGAAGGGTTTGCAAAACTAACGGCGACTTCGGGGGGAGTTCACAACCCCTCAGTCGGTGTTGCCTGAAGTAGTCAAGAAAACGAAAAAAATAGGAGTAAGATAACAACTCGATATGGAGGCATTAGGGAAAGATTTTACATACGGCAAAAAAAATTTTTCTGATTTTATTCAATCCCAACCTGAATAAATTGAACGGATGTTCGCGGATAAAGTGATCCCTCTATGCTGAGGAGGGTAGCTTACGAGGTGCCTACTTATCTCTTAGAAGATTATCTTAAGATTGAAAATAATTAATAATTCGTATTTCTATGGGTTGCCATTCGGGGATGAGTAGGACTAAATAAAATGTGGTTTGCTCTCAGACTTCTCTCAGCAGAGGATTTTCAATCCGAAGCAGCGTCCTAAATGTCTCGCAATTTATTTTCGTGTTTTTCTTTTTCTGCAGGCCGACGAGATCGTTCAAACGCTCACAAATGAAAGGAGTCTGAGCCTGGACAAGGAATCCAGGGGCGAGGTGAGTGCCCGCCATTTCCATCGATTTCCGTCGCTTTTCGCGTGTGAAGGGAAATGTCGGGTTTGCAGGTCGTGCATTTCGAGTCGCAGACGAGGACTCATACGATCAAGCTTCAGGCGTCCAGGTATTTCACGATGGACAAGGCTCTGCTCACTTCCGTGAGTTTCGCATCTCCGGGAAAATCGTGAAAGGTTTTAATTTTTATGGTACGAACGGACTTGCACTACCGAAAGCTGAAGTTTGGACTGGGTCTCATCAAGTTGTGATACATGTGTATGCCGTTAATTGATAAGCAATCGACAAAGCAGCTGTCTGGGAAGCAATAGGAAAACCAACGGGGAAACTTGGACACTTTGTGGTAAGAGNTTCGAGTAACAACGAGATGTCTCGCCCGACACATGATGTGACGTTGACTGGAGATTGTGTATTCAATTGTAGTACAACGTGATTTCCATATCCTCGCAACGACATTTTCAGCATCATGTAAATATTGACTATGCATATGATCAGCATCAACTTACCTTCGACATTGTTAACCTAATAATGATTAGTAATGAGTGAATATTGATGTGCAGACTGGGTATTATCTTTCGAATGTGAAGAAGCATGGATTTCTTTTTTTTTCCGTCCTGATTACTCAATCAGGATTGTGCTTGGAGCTAGTTTTGTGCTCGACAAGAAGAGAATAGCCGCTCTTCCGGACGTCATCTGCGTTATCGATAGCGATAGGCTTCAGCATTAGTGAAAGGTGCCGCGGACAGAGATAGGACTAATGGAATGATTGAGAAAATAAATAAGCGGGGGCGATACGAAGCGAAGATGGCGTCTGTTATGGATTGGCTCTGGATTCTGTGCCGTTTGGGAGTCTTCCTCGGCATTTTACCTCTGGAAGGAACAGGGAAGGAGGAGAGGAAAGTGACGTTTCGGGTGTGGAGTGTCCCGTTCGTCTGGTCCATGCTCCTCGTGCTGGGCAATGTGACTGCCATCTGCATCCTGCTGCCGAGCTTTCGAGAATGCTTCGAGGGGGAGGGGGGTGAGCTTGGAGACCGGCTCGGATTCTACGTCGTGATGACGGCTGGCTTTGGGGTCGTGATGGCTTGCTTCTTCTCCGCGACGTCGGCGGCGAGGAAGATCCCGGGATTTCTGGAGGAGCTGGACGAGACGTGGAGGGACTCGGTGGGGTCGAGTCCCGTTGGGTTGCCCAGGTCGTTTTGCTTCAAGGGGCTCGGGTGTTTTTGCTTCTACGTTGCGGACACTCTCACGGTGTGGGTTGCGATCAGGAGAATCCAACACGTTGTGATGGTTGCTACCGTGAGTCTGATGATGATCCTCACGGCCGGGTTCGCGACTCTCTTTCTTCTAGTCGCCATTTCATGCGAGGTGGGCTTCTCAATTATTTCGTCCCCGAGATGGGTTCGTCTTTTGAAATTGGTGGGCGCAGAGTGAGCCATCGACGTGAATCGCAATTGACGCTTTTTTTCTCTGTATACTCATTAGCAGTGTTGGATTATGTTTCTTCTCTCCCACTTCACAAGTTGCTCAAAAGTCAGTAGGCAAATTAAACATATCACTTTCGTTTCTGGATTTTCTAATGTGAATCCACCTTCTCTTGCGCTCTTCATCGTCTCTTTAACGTTTCCTCGAGGACAATGTCTCAAAAGCATCCTTGAACCATTTGCCAGATCTTGCAGGCGATGCTGGAGGAGCGAGCAGCGGAGCTGTCCCTCCCCACGAACTCCCTCCGGCAAGGGGAAGCGTTGGTCCAGTACCTGGAGACGCATCGCCAGGTGTCCCACCTGTGCAAGAGGCTTTCGTCCGTCTTCCATCCCACTCTCTTCCTCGGATTCCTCTCGGCGATCGTCGCTACCATCGGATACGCCTTCTTCATCATCTCTTTCGTCATGAAGGGTTCTTGGGTCCTTGCCCTCATGGCTGTGACGAGGGCGTCCTTCTGTGACTTCCTCGTCTTTTCCCTCTGTTGCTCTGCCGACAATCTCTCCTCGAAGGTGCGCTCTCGCAGATCGTCTCGAATATCAAGCTTAGTGCATATCTGTTAAGGTTATGCGTGTTCGCAGCTTCCGCATTGTCTTGTAATTAAAGTTAAGTCGACCGAGGTTCCATAAAATATGGTTTAAGTCCTCTCAAGGCCGAGGTAATTGTTCGTATTTCCCGCAGCACTCAGCTTTTTAAAACTTTCCTTGATTTTAGGGGTGCTTATGAACGTCGTCTTGCATTTCAAATTTCAAAGACAGATTTCCACACCAGAAGCAAGATGACTCCTAAGTCCCCGCTTATTAGAAGGAAAACGAATTCACTTCCCCTTCACGCCAGATTCACACCAGAAGTCGATTAAACTCATTGGTGAGAGTGCTTCTGGATCTTGGCCTTGACTCGGTCTCGTGAATCGAATGGAATGACCTCGTTCATCAATTTAGTCTACTTCGCGACATTTTTTTATTACCCCTATCGTCAATATCTTCCTAACGACGACGACGACAATCCTGATGTGATTGGACAAAAAGGTTTCGGGCCTGCTCCTTTGAAAATCTTCAAAGGTGAGGCGAGACGAGATTTCTTCTACTTTGGATTCCAAGCAGAACCCGAACGTACGACCCCTTTTACAAACTGCGAGATTCTGAAATCCAAGGAAGACGTCCTTTCCATTACGCATGATTGCAGCGTCAAGCAAGAACGTCAAAGGAACCAATGTTCTTAAATGCAATGGATACTCTCGTAGTCTGAATTTGTCCCCCGCGAACGATTTTGAAGCACATCCAGCTGACGTCCGGAGGATGCTCCATTGCTACCTGGGGGATTGATGTGTGTGGATTTCATCCAATGGCCGTGTCCAATGGGGATGTCCAGTGGATTTCCTCTGGTTTAAAATTGCTGCTTGGGATGTTCCTGCGATTGCAAAAGGCCCTTCGTGCGGCGAAGTCTTGCATTTAAATTGCCGCACTGTCAAATTTCTACTGGAATTTCCGATTATTCTTCGTAAAAATTTCCGATGAAGGACATGTAAACCTGGATGTCGCCTCATGCTCTGGAAATTTTTCCTGCATTTCTTCGACTTCTCCGCGGAATTTTCCCCTTCATTCTTCGCGAAATATTGCGTTTTAGGGACACGCATCCGATTTCCGACGTTCAAGCGTTCGCCCTTTTTCCCGTTCGCGTCAGAAAAGCCTGTTTCGAATATTCGCCGAAATGCCCTTTGTGATCATTCGGACCTTTCGGTATTGGCACCTTGAGGAAGCCACCCGATACCTTTAGTTTCCAACCCGAATTATAGATGGCTCCCACTACCCTCCGATATCCCCTTAAATATGGCACCGTGATGCTTCAAAAAACGTCTAGTCGTTTACATTCTCAAGAAGAAAGGTATTTCCATGAGTATTTCCCAATTCGATACAGGGAAGATTTAGGGCATCACAGCTTCTTCTTCGATTTGGGAGAGCAACTGCTCTGAAACGACAGTTGCCCTGCCTCACCGACATCCTCTGCGTTTCCTGGCTGCCGGCTTTCCATGAAAGCATGGGGGATGCGTGGCTCGGTCGTTCTCCTCGAACAATCTCTCTTTGAGAAGAGAGAGGAGGAAGTTCCGGAAGTGAATAGAAGGAGGTGCTGAAAAATCGAACTGAAAAATAGAACTCTTCATCGCCCAGTGGTTGCTTCAAGTGTGAAGCCAATCAAATGACATATCCTCGTTCGGTCCCTGGAACATCCGCAATGTTGGAATAATTAGATCAGATTTTCTCGGTGAAAATTTTAAGTGCCCTCATCTCCACGGATGCGGAGGCTTAACATTTTCTCCATAAATTCTTTGTGCGAAGAGAATGGGACACACCTCATTTCATCGAAAAAAGAAATATACGAGTGGAGATGATGCAAAAAGCTTGGGCGTGCGAAATTTTCCAGCTAGACAAGTCTCCTTCGCCCCAATTAGAATGGTCTTGCTAAGAACGCGTATTACGCTTTAGTATTAACATTTCTTAGGCTTCCATCTTTTTTTCTTACAGGAATTTACATAAACGTTTTTCTACGCGCTTTCCTGCAGGCAGAAGGCATGATTGAGATGCTCACGAACGGCAAGGGCCTGGGCCAGGACGAGGGACTCAAGGACAAGGAATTCAAGGACGAAGTGAGGCTTTTGTCTACGATTTTTTATCCGGTTCAGATGAACTTCGCGTGCAACGGGGTATGTCGGTTTTGCAGGTCGTGCATTTCGAGTCGCAGACGAGGACTCATCGGGTCAGGCTTCAGGCGTCCGGGTATTTCACGATGAATAAGGCTCTGCTCACTTCCGTGAGTTTCGTGCTTCTGAAATCTCTGTTCTTGTTGGGCCAGGGCGAAAATGGAAGAATTGGCATCGGTAGTATTTCGGGATGTGGCTAAATGAAGAAACGGTACCTTCCGACAGTGTCCTATATGTCTGGAACCAAAGTCAGCGTATTTTCTTTCAGATGATCTAAGTATAAGAAATGGCATTACATGCGGATGAGATAGCAGAGGTTGAGGTAAGGGGTACCTGGGGAACCAATAGTCACCACCAAGTACCCGACTAATCGAACATTTGTACTGGGTGGGCCATTTATATCTGACACATTAATTTTCGTAATAAATCAGGACTAAAAAAGCAATGCAAGTTGCTATTTTATCAAAGTGAAGTATAAATAAGGGAAATCGTCGCACTATCGGAGGTCTACGGCTTAATAAACCACATTCTTTAAATGCTGTCCTTCACAATTGATGCATTCCCTTCTCGAACCACTTCATTCTTCATTACTGTCCTGAATGTAGGCCAAAGGTGAGCCTACATTCAGGCCAAAGGTGGGCCTACACGTTATTAATTTCCTCATTGAACATCCATTTTCTTCAACATTACTGGTGTCCGAATACTTTTGAGAGAATAGTGCTATACTGTCAAAATTATTCGGGCACCAGTAATGGTGAAGAAAATGGATGTTCAATGAGGAAATTAATAACGTGTGGGCCCACCTTCGGCCTGAATGACAGCTCCTTCCCGCGACGCATACTGGCTGCTACTGATATCTCCGGTGCTTCCTGCACACTTTTATACCTGTTCCTTCTTTGCATACGTCCGACTCGTATCGTTCACTATTTTCGGAGTGGTGTCCGATTACTTTTGAGATTTTAGTGTAAATGGTCCACCCTGTGTAATTCAGGTATATGTATTTGTAAATGCGTGCCTCTAGTTCCAGTGTTATGGGACGCCCTGCAAGTAGTTTCTATTTGATAATTGAAAGTCTGTTTCTTCAATAGAGGAAGAGCAAGGAACACGTTTGACAGATTGATCTACAATAAAAAAGACTAGCAGTTTTCTTCAACGATCATTGACGTTGTCAATGAGAACTACTTGTCCGCTGGATCGATGATCGCTGGATCGATGAGGCTGAATGATTTTGAAAAAAACACGACCAAGAAGGAGTAGGCAGATCTTGATGAAATTTGAAATTTGATTGAAGTTCGTATCAACATGCGATGAATTCGATGAGAGTTTTAATTGTGTGGGATCCATATTATTGGAGAAAACTTGCTTAACGATGTAATTTCATTATCGGGTCATGCAATTTTCCGAACTGGTCACCGAATAGGTTTTAAAATCGTGAAACGCGGTAGAAAAACTCCTAAATATGTGGAGATAAAACACAGCAGAGCACAAATATGTGTAACTTTTCATATTAATTTTCATATGAAACTTTTGTCGCATAGACCCAAAGAGAATTTTGCAGAAAGCTGAATCGATCGCTCTCCCTTGATTCCAGGTGGTGAGCAACATGGCCACGTACCTGATAGTGTTGTTAGAATTCCGTCTCGGGTGATTCCTCGTCGTTCTTGCTTCGTTACAGCATGGAATAAAGTTTTTTTTTTCTGCTCTCTTGGAGGCTTCTCTGGGGAAGCGATACTTCAGGAAATTGCGAGAAGGTGGAATTTCGATTTTTTGCACTTCACGGCGTGAATTTCATACACATAACGAAACATTTGTTTCCTCCTGAAAAAAATACTCATCAGTTTTACGGTGAAACTTTCACGAACCATCGAGGCATGGATGCGCTATTAACCAAATGCAAAGTTATTCCAAAGAATCAATGCGCCATGTCAGGAGGCGCACTCTCAGATGTCATTCCACACTTCATAGCAGAAACTAATGATGTCCTCAAGACAGCTGAAGTCTGAATTCCATCTACCGTCGGCCACCATAGTCCTGTCTCATGATGACACCATTTTCTGTGTTTCCAACGTTGCCTTTTTTAAATCTCATGATTGGAAACCAGAATAAATTTGCATGATGTCGAGCACCACTTTGAGTCATTTTATGGAGTGAATAAATTTTCTGCTATGGGTTCTTTGAAAAGGTAATAAATTCTTACTTGAAATTTATAGAAGACCTCATGCCATTGTAAGGACTTAATGTTTACGCATTTCTTCGTGCATAATTAATTATTCAGATCAGATCAAATCAAAGGTGAGCCCTCTCCCCATTAAGCACTGAGGTCAACCCTGAAAATCAATTGCTGAATAAAATTAAAGCCATTAGTTTAATTAAAGCCTATCTGTCTCTTCACGACAGTCGCCCCATCCAGAAAGCGAGTCGCAATCGCCTGCCACTGCCTCCCATTCGTGCAGCGTTGCATCCGTCGATCGATCGAGCCGCTTGGCTCATCGACTCCCCTTCGCGGAGGGACGGCGAGTAAACATTTCCTGCGATTCGACTGATCCGACCTTCCCTTTCCTGTAATCTCGCCATCTCGACCTTGCTGCTTGCATCATCGACTGGCTCCCCTGGCTGTCGAGCTGGCTCGTGGAATCGGCACCCTCTTGGTGCACGCCTGTTAAGCGTTTGACATGTAACATTAATTTTAATCGCTTTTCACCTACACAGTTGAGTAGAAAGGTGCGAGGAAACGTAGATTCGTATGCATGTGGTCCAGACTTTCAGATTGGTTCTTCCCGGCATCTTACTCAGAAGTTCCGCGGTGGGTGGCACTCATGTTCTTTGGAACGTCCGAACCAAATTCAGGCAACATCGGACCTTAGGTGAAGCTTTTCTTCCTTCCCCTGTCCTCTTCTCATCTTATGGACCAATATAATGCTGGGGTATAACTATGATGTTTAAATGGCATCAAACGTTTCCGGAAAGTTCTGAAGTTTGGTGTTTTGCACGGGAACAGAGATTCATCTATATTTGGGTTTCTCTAATA